AGAGACAAGAGCTGAAGACTTTTTATTCACTTTATTCTCAAGCAGATTCTATCCCTGCTGGTAGCAGCAAAGTTCCAGCAACTTCAGACTAACAATACTACCAGCTTCAAAGTCCTCAAAAAAAAAAATGTAAAACGCTTTTTCTATTGGTTCCAAGAAAAAGTCCCAAATTTACCTCCTGTAAGTTCTGCTGGCTAATTATAGTGGGAAAGAGTCAGGAGAAACAATTTGATTAGCCAGCCTTTGGGGCCAATTTGCCCGCTGCCTAGAGTCTGGATGTGGATTTACCTCAGTTTATGTGGTGACAGTAAAAATGGGTAATTCTAAAGATAAGGTACAGGTATTATTCTTAGAAGACTGGAGAAGGCAAAAAGGACATCACTACTAGAATCCACTGACAGGTTCCCCAGGCCCATGAAGGCAGGGTGGGATCACTTGGCTGAAGTGATGATTAATCCTCTCAATGAGGCTGGAAATAGGGAAAGCAAGACCCCAAAAAGCACCAAGAGTAAGAAAGCCATGGTAGTCATATCTAGGACACATTAAAATAGCTAGCACACACTGCATGATATGCAGACCCTGCTTGATGTTGGCTGAGTATTATTATTGTGGCTATAATTAATCCAAGAGAGATGATACAATAATTCACCTAATAACTATAATTAACCTGGGGAGGATGCAATCAGGGGCTGCTAGCCCAACGAGGGTAGACCCCTAGCTCGCCCGAGCCTGTCACACAACCTCTCCATGGCCACACAGTGTTCCCACCCCACACACTAGAGATGTGCATGGACCCCTGCCCTGCTTGGCTGTTCAACAGGTGGCAGGGTCCACATTGCCTGTCCTGGAGGCTGTCAGTGTGATGACAGCTTCTTCCTGGCCTGGTGACTGCATCCCTGTCCTTGCTGTCTCAGAGGCCACTACTGTGAGAGCAGAGAGCATTCTCCTGGGTTTTGTTGGGAGTCCCACTTGTTTTATGTCCTTCCTTATCCAGCTCTCAACTCAGAGCCTCTCACCACACCCTCCCCAGGTCAGCCATCCTCACTAATGTCTGCTCCTGCCCCTGCTCCTGACAGCTGGGAGAGTGCATGACCTGTGTTCCCTTCAGCTACCCTATGGTGGAGACTTGGGCCATCACAGATGGAATCTGAGGCTGCTTACTGCAAGGTGACCAGGGCTATGGTCTGAGAGGGTCAGATATGAGGGTACAGCTCCTGAATTCTGAAAAAGAAAAGGATAAATGGATTCAGATCCATTTATGGATCTGAAATGCTCGTGGATCCTTAGTTTCTCTCTCCTCTGCAGCCATAGGGGTCCCTGCCTTGAGCACTTGGGCCCCACACTGGTTTCCCAACACTGTTCCTGAGCTCTAGACCCCAGTCCCTAAATACTCCTGATTTGTCCCATGGAATTCTGTGTATGCAGCCACATGAGCTAACCCCTTGACCTCAGCACATTGCAGTTACCCCTCTACCCCAACTTGCACGCAAGTACCTACCTGCTGCTACCACTATGTGCCCAGCACCCACCACTCTGCTTCCTCCACCAACACCAGTGCCCTGTCCAACCTCAGGGTCTGGATTACCAGGAGGCCCCAGTATTGTCTTGCCAAATGCTGAAGTTATCACAAAACTCCTTATATGGCTGGCAATAGCCACCTTTCGACCCAGTCTCCATCCAGCCCCATTGTCCCGGAGGAAGCATTAGTTTGAACTGCTTCTGGAGACTTCTTTTCCATGTATTTGGAGAAGCCCACTGTATCAGTCAGCTTTCCTGCCACTAGGAAATACATCTACAGCTTAAAGGAGGGGAGGTTTAATCTGGATCACAGTTTCAAGGGATTCAGTCCATGGTCAGCTGACTCCATATCAGAACATCATGATGGAAGGATGTAGCAGAGCATTGCTTAGTTCTCAGTGGCTGGGAAGCAGAAGCAGCAAAATAGTGCCAGAGAAAGAGTTGGGGCCTTACATAGTACCCAAGGTCACATCTCCATGTCAGAAATATCTTTTATTGATTAATTGCTAGGACACTCCCTTGCCAGTCACACTGACACAGTTAAGACTGAATCACCACAAAGCTGGCTGGCTGGTCTCTGTAGCACAGCTCATGGCAACCTTGAGCCCTTCAGCCTGAATCTGACTGCATTTCTATGAACATATTACTGCTGCAAGGCCTTTACCCTCTCAGCCAGTGGTCTGAGCCTGGACATAAACCCAAGAGACCTCGAACTACATCCAAATAAGATTCCCAAGACCCCACAGGTCCAATATCTTTCATTGTCCCCACTATGCTCAAATAACCTGTCATGAGCCCTTTTCTCATGGATGCCCCCTTTATTAACACTCCCTCTGACTCTCAAAGATGCCCATTTCAATTTCCTAATGGCCCCATTCATTCTCACAAGTGGCCACTGACTCCCTTCCCACTGATTTGCTTCTTCGCTCCTCTCCTGACTCTCCATTTGCCTGTTAACCACCACTGAGATTCTAATCACCCTTCCACCTACCCTCCATTGAGTCTTCAGTGATCATCCAATAAACTCCCTGACAGAATCCTCTTTGATCCACAGGCTCAGGCTAATTGAATCATCCATTTTCCCTACCAAATCTGTTGTAGTCAGGGGTTGTGATGGGTACAATTAGAATCAGGACACAGAATTTATATTATTTTATGGTGGTCACCCAGAGTTAAACACAGAAAGTGCCGGAAATCTGTCCACAACACCAAACACTCAGAATATTCAACCAAGGGCCTAGATCCTACAGCAATGTCCTGCATGAGCCCAGATGAAAATCTAGAGCCCATGACATGCCTTCCATTGGAGATCTAGAGCCCACGAGAAGGACTCACACCAGTCTGTTTTATGGATCCATGCTGGAAAGGCCCAAAGGTCAGCAGTAGAAGCTAGAAAGTCTATGCCATCGGGGTGAAAGAGTTGTGCTGGTAGGGTGAGCCGAGAAGTCATGCTCATAATAAATACCAGGGCTGTCCTGAAAAGCACCATAGCCATCCTCAGCAATACAGAGGTCCCAAGCTCCTCTGACAAATAGAACAACTGAGTACATGCCAGGAAGCCAGCATGACTTATTTGTCCTGGAGATTAAATGGCACACACTTTCCCTCTGGAGCCAGGAAGTGATCCTTACGTAAGGACCAGAGCTCCCCCAAAGTGAACCACAGCCACTCTCACCAATAAGGTCCCAAGCTCCTCTGATAACAACGGTTGAACTCACACTGGGAAGCTAGTAATGACCAGCTCCTCCAGGAGAACCAATGGCTCAAACAGCAAAACTTAGAGAAACCCACAACACTTCACTCATCTTCTCCACATCTCTATTTATACTGGCAACTCTCCTCAGATGGACCATCTACACGAAGCATCATACTGATTTAATTCAGCTGGTTGACCACCCAGTTTTTAATCCATAACAAGATCCTATCATTGGTGTATTCACTGGTATATTGGTTACTCATTAACCCCATTTACTGTCCTCTTGACCACCCCCATTGATTCGTACTGAGCAGTCTGCTGACCATCCCCGTTGATACAGTGGTTGGCCCATTAGAGTCCTCATTTACCCTTCTGAGGAGATTCCCAGGCAGCTGTCTCACCAACCACTGTCCCTCCCTTTGAACTTCCTATTGACTCCTCCACTGCATTTCTAGGCCTTTCTATTTTTCCCCTAATGAGTCTCTCTTTGAGCATTTCTTGCCCACTAAGCTTTCCAAAGTGTGTCCCATTAATTCAATGACCACCTTCTGATTTTACCATACCCACTCCCATTGCCATATAAAGTTTTGATCCTTGGTGACCTTTGAACTTGTCACACGTTTCAGTTTCCTTCATTTGCCACCACTTGCTCCATTTGCCAACTTATTGATCCTCCTGAGACAGTCTCTTACTTTCTAACTCTGCATAATGAATCAGCCTGTGCATCTCACTGACACCTGAAATTCTTGCCTGTAACAAGACACTAAGGACCTACCTAGGCCTAGTTGAGGTTCCTATCTCCTCTTTAAGGGGACATCTTTGAGCCCATCGGTGATACCCACATTGTTCCCTCACTGAACTTCCACTGACTTCACACAAACTCTTACCACCCAACAAATCTACCATTGATCCCCCCTCCCTAAATCCCCTCCTGACCCCCTACTAAGCTTGACTGACCTCCAATTTGCATATATAATGACCATCCCCATTAACCAACCTCTGATGTCTCCTGCCCCCTATCTGATCCTTTTCACTGACCCTTCCAGTGCTCCACAACACTCTTCCCCGGGTGTTCTCCCCACCCAAATGTAGGTAGAATTTAGGATCTGCTCCCATTTCTAGTTGCCTTTCTGCCTATCTCTGGGTGCCAGCCTTTGAGGACCGGACTTCAACCTCTCCTGATCTGGGACAGCCGGGCAGCCTGCCACGTGTGATGTTTCCAAGGCCCTCCAGGGGCCTAACCATGTGGACTCTGTAGCCTCAGCAGCACCAGTCACATCCTTGCCTGTCTGGACCTGGTCAGCTGACCCGAATGCTCCAGATACTTACTGCCTGGTGGCCTTGCCTGTCCAGTTCACAGGGACTCATTGCTGGCTGCTGGCTACAGCCGTGGGTGCCCAGGAGTCATTTTACACAGAACCAGACCCTTGCCTTGTCCCCCAACTAGTGCCTGGATGACAGGTGCCACCATCGCTGCTTCCATCGCACCTTTTCCTAAGCTCTGGCCTCTTACCCTGTTGTTTGTGGGACTTTGGATATAACCTTCAGCCCTGGAGACCACCTGACTTTCACCTTGAGTGAGAGACTGCCAGAGAGAGATCCGAAGAGCCACTCGGGAACAAAATGTGCAGCACCAACTGGAAAAGTTTGGCTCTGGGCAGGGCAGGGCTGGCCGGGAAGGTCTTAGGACCAGCCTGGTTCTCTTCTCGCATACCCCGTGCTGCCCTCCCCCGCTACACACACACACCCTCGGCTCTGCCTTCCCAGATGCCTATCGGTATCTCACCTGCACTCCCTTTTCTGTGCCTCGCTGTCGGTCCCCGGGTCTCCATCTCTGCCCACCCCAGCGTCGCGGGCCCGCTGTACTCGCCCTCCAGAGAGCTATGGGTCGAGGTGCGGGTGGCAACCGCTGCCATGAGGGCGGTGAGTGTAAGGAAGACTCCGTGCTGATCCTGCCGCCCTAAATTAAGGCCGAAGGCGGCAGCTTCCGCGCGGGCGGATACCTACCGCTGGGCACCGTCTGCTACCCTGGGCCTGGCCGCCCACGCCGCTGCCACTGCGGCCTGAGTTGGGGCGGGGACACCGTGACCCGCGCGGGTGCTGGTGTAGGTGCAGCCTCCAAGAAGGCACGAGTTGCTGTCTGAGCCCTGTGCTCTCACGCTGCTGCTGCCGGACCTCAGGTTTTGTGGGTTCCCTCAACCTGGCTCGCGGGCACCTGGCCCTGCAGCACTGTGCCCCATGATGGCTCAGGACCGCTAGGTCTGCACCTCAACCTAGCTGAGATGGTGAGCTGCAGCTCAACTGTTCTATCAGCCTCCTACCAGATCACTCACCATCCCTGGACCACAACCAGGCCCCGCCTTTTTCTTTCTAGAAGCACCTCAGTTTCCCCTGTGGGTAAAATAAGCATATCTGTCCCCAGCGTTTACAAGATGATAGCAATTTATATGACAAAGTAGAAAAGCCCTGGGATTACTATAATAGCTAAAGAGCAGCGGTGAGTGTTTGTATTATCATCTGCTATAGAGGATGGTAGAATATGCCATTCAAGAATCTTTCACATCAGGTGCAATGGGACAGATCTGTAATCCCAGAGCTCTGGGAGGCTGAGGCAGGAAAGTCAAAAGCTTGAGCTCAACTCAGGCAATTTAGTGATTTAGCAAAACTTTGCTTTAAAATAAAAAATACAAGGGGCTGGGGATTTAGCTCAGTGGCAAAAGCACCTGCCTTGCAAGCGTGAGGTCGTGAGTTCAATCCCCGGTACCGATAAAAATAAATAAAAATAAAAAATACAAGAAAGGGCTAGGCATGTAGCTCAGTATGAAAGCCTTGAGTTCAATCACTAGTACCACCACCACCACCATCAAAACCACTAAAAAAAAAAAGACATATATATATATATATATATATATATATATATATATATCAGTAGTTACATTTCGTGCAACGTCTAATTTAATTTAACTGTATTAGCTAATTCTGGAGCACAAACAACCTCAGAATCTTAGTGACTTAACTCTTGTGGTCTATTTCTATGAGTTAAGTGGCACTTGACTGATTTTGGTTGGGGCTGTGAAGCACCAACCATGTGCCATTGTTCTAAGTGTTCTTAATTCTCCCAACACCACTATGAAGTAGATATTTTGTCCATTTTACCCACAGATAAACTGAAATTCAGTAAAGCTAAGTCCTTTCTCCAAGTGTCACTGTCAATCTGTGGCACGATAAGTGTTATGGTTTAGATCTAAAAGTCCCACGTGTTCAGAAATGGGGTTTTGGAAGGTGATTCACTCATAAGGTTACTATACTTTTTTTTTTTTTGTCTTTTTCCTTTTTATCGGTACCAGGGATCAAACTCATGACTGCACACTTGCAAGACAGGCGCTTATGCCGCTGAGCTAAACCCCCAGCCCCAAGGTTGCTATACTTACCAATGTATATAATCCATTGATGAGTTCATAGCTGAATGTGATTTTAGGATGTGGGGCCCAGTCAGAAGAGGTGGGTCACTGGAGCTATGACCTGAAAAGATGTGTTCTTGTCCTCAGCGCCTCCCTTTTCTCTCTCCCTATTTCCTAGCTGCCATTGGTTGAGCAGCTTTGCCCCTCACCATTTCTGCCTTAGAGCCAGCCCACCATGAGTAGACTGAACCTTCTGAAACCATGAGCCAAACAAGCCTCTCCTTTAATTGTGGCATTTGGTCCCAGCAACAGAAAAGTGACCAATAAACTAATACATAGAGCTAAATTCATGTTGCCAGCAGGCATGGGACCAGGCTCAAGTTTCTCACTCCCAGCCCTGAGTCCTTTTTTCCTCATTAGGTGGATGGTAAACCCTGCCAGCTCCCTAGTGCCTGGGCCACACTGGGGGTCCCCATGTTATAATGCACACAGTCTGTGGCTGCACAACATAAACGACCTAGACAACTAAAGGTGCCAATCTGTGCATTCCATCCTCTGGGGCCAGCTAGCAAGACTCTGTGACCCCCCGCCCCCGGTGGGAAAATTGGCCCTCCTGACCTCCCTCTAGACAACAGCTCCTGACCCAAGTCTCTGTTCATTACTCTCTCTCTCTGCCCATTGTCCCAGCCTGACCATGGCTTTAGCATCAGCTGCTTCCATGAAAACTGTCCAGGGCTTCTAGGTTCCCAAAGTGTGTAGACTCCTGCAGATGCTTAAACAGCCCCTTTGGCCACTGCCTGGGTCACACCAGTACCAAGCCCATCCTTAGGATACAGCTATAGGATGCATGTCACACTACAGCCAGCACCTTGGCCTCTATAATCCCCTTACAACCAGCCAGAAGGGCCCAAAACTTCATGGTGAGTGTGCTGGATATGTATGGGATGCACCTGTTGGGAGCAGGAGCCAGGGGTCCGGCAGTGAACGGGTGTGGGAAACCACACACTGAAGCTGGACCTCAATCAGTTCCTCATCCTACAGTGATCTCAGCCTTCTAGACAAAGCATCGCGCTGATATTAACCTGGGAAAAGCTTCATAACATAAACAATAGAAGTTTCTCATGGGCCCAAGAACATGTTTACCTCCTGAGCTGCACAACATAGAAGTTTCTCACGGGCCCAGGAGCATGTTTACCTTTGCTGTGTGCACAAGAAAGTGTCCTGAAGTGACTTGTACTGCTCTTTGTTTTGAAACATTATAAAAACTCTGTAGTCTTTCAATAAATCACCTTTTGCCTCCTGAGCAACTGGTCTCCCTGTGTCTTCAGTCTCTCACCTGACTCCTTCCCCGCGCTGGCCGCGGCACCTGGCATGCACCCAGGACAGGTTATGAGTTGGAATAAGTCCCTCCCATGATTGGGCCAGCTCAGAATTCCTAACATAGGTGGAATAACTGAGATGAGTGTACAGGACAAGAATTCAACACAGAGAACTGGAAAAACAGAGAAATGGGAAAATATCAAGTAAAACTAGCCTGACTAGGGGCAGAAGGCAATGAAACTGGAAGGAGAATGGGATTGTTGGGAGGCACTGCAGACTGAACCCAGGGCATTCACATTAAGCTATGTCCCCAACCTTTAATTTTGTATTCTGAGATAGGGTCTCACTAAATCACTAAGTTGTCCAGGCTGGGCTCAAACTTGGGATCCTCCTGCCTCAGCCTACCAGAGTGCCAGATTACAGGTTTATGGTACCACACTGATCTGAGAAGTGCTCATCTAAGTGCTCATCTTTGCCATCCGCTTGCAGCACTGACTCCCCATGCCAGTGTCACTAGCACACCTGATTTGCCCATTCCAGTGTCACTACAGCACCTGTGCATGAGCTTGTGATGTGGACTATACTCTGCCCACTAATCCCACTCAGTGTGCATATGACCCTAATCTTGTTTTCGATGTCTGAGACTGTCTCAACCACTGTGGCTGCTTCCACAATGATGCTACATCCTGGTGAGAGGTGTCTCATCTCCTATGATAGGAGGGAAGTCTCCCATTGTATGTCATGAGAGATTCCCTGAATCATGACAGTATCATTAAACACTGTCAGTAGTAAACAAAAGAAAACGAAGCCAACTGTTTCAAATACAAAATGGAATTTATTCAAAACACATGGAATTTAATTAATTTTACTTATCTGTAAAATAGAGACCTTTAGTCATGGCTAGATTCAGGAACTCAAATTGATATAGGAGAAAGAAACTCCCAAACTACTACATGTCCAGTACGAGTTTATGTCCTCTAAAACTGAAAAATGAATTTTAGGAATAAGGGGGTTAAGAGTAGAATATATTTACTGAGAGAAAGAAAGCTTCTGTCTGAGACTGAAGGGGTCCTGAGTAGGTTGCCAAGGATCCTGCCTTTTCTAGGGATTTTTATAGAGCAAAACTACAAGGTGAGGAGGGTCCAAGGCAGAGGAAAATGGGAATGCACAAAGTGGACATGAAATGGGACAGAAATGTGGTCAACCAGTAAGATTACGAATGTGATTGCTCAGGTAAAATTGATTAAAATAGGATCAAATGGAAAAGCCAGTCACATAGCAAGAGGACACCAATATAGAACAAGCCCTTTGCCAGTAAGGAATGCGTTTGTGGCTCCTTCTGGCTTCCTCAAAGTGAATGGATGCCTATTTAGTATTTTCCTTCTTTTTTTTTTTTTTTTTTTTTTTTTTTTTATCGCTACCGGGGATCAAACTCAGGACCGCCTGCTTGCAAAGCAGATGCTTATGCCACTGAGATAAATCCCCAGCCTATGGATGACTATTTAGAATATCAACCCCTGAGGTTTATCCTCAGGGTGTGGCTGCATTTGTTTTTGTCTTTTATCTTGAGATTTGGCCCACAAGGAGAGATGTTAGTTTTCCCCCACAGCTGCAACTTACCTAACCTTCTGCACTGGCTCCTTGAGAGAAAGCAAGCTTCTGTCTGAGAGAGAGATAGAAGGGGTCCTGAGTAGGTTACCAAGGATCCTGCCTTTTCCAGGACTTATAGGGAAGCGCTATCTGCTTACCTATAATATTTCTATCTAACTCAGCTGCCTACAACAAAATGATGGCTCTAGGACTGGGTTTCTTTTCATTCTTCATCCCTGCCTTTTCCTTTTACTGTATTACCCTCTATATTAGGTAGGCTCTTGGTCCAAATCTATTAACAGAGGCTCAACCTTTACATGACTTACACTTGGCAGAAGTTTATTTTTGTCTCTTGAACAGTCCAAGTATAACCAGCTTGAGTCCTGATATAGGTTTCTTCGATTATGTGGCTCTGCTAGGTTGCATTACCATCATCTGCTCCCTGACACATCTACATTCAAGCAAGCTGGAAATGAGGAGAAGGAGAAGGGGGTCAGGCCTCCCTCCTTTCTTTAAAGGCACAACCCACGAGTGGCACATCTCTTCCACACACTTGCCAAAGACCAAAACTGTCTGGAAAAGATACCATCTGGCTATGCAGGGGGCTGGAAGGTGTATCTTTAGCTATGTGTACAGCTAAAAATTATACTTCTAGGGAAGAAGTGGAGAGTGGCTATTTGAAGACAGCCTCATTCTCAAAGCACCTGTTTGTGGTGGAGCCTCCCACGACTGTGTGTTTACCGCACACAATTTAGCCACCTTAAGGAAGAAGCAGTACTTCTTTCTCGAAACTTTTAGTAGAAATCCTAGAACTGATATTCACTGTCCCATTGGAGAGCATTTGTTCATCCCTAAACCAATCACAGGCACCAGGAGACAGGATACTCCAGTTTCTCTCTGATTGGCCAGGTCTGGGGCACAAGCCAAAACTGGATCCAGAGGGTAGTATATACCCAGGAAACTCTATAGCCTGAGAGTGGGGCTAGATTCCCAACGGCAAACCGGAGAGGCCATTATCAGAATACCACATCGGGCCCTAGGAAGGGGTAAGTGTATGCCCTTTGAGGTTTTGTAGCCCCTTTTGTCCACTGGAAATTAAGTAAGACCCTCAGGCTGATTCACAGTCCTGTTAGAGATTAAAGGCTACTTGATAAGAAAAATATGGGTGTTTAAACTCCAGTGTGAATCCTATGCCTTCCGTAATATAGTAGTTGTTTGGCTTACCCTCGTAATCTTATTGGTTGACCATAGTTCTGCCCCTTCTTATCCCCACCTTCTTCACAAGTTCCCATTTATCCCCACAGTGGACCTGCCATACCTCATGGTTTTGCTCTATAAAAATCCCTAGAAAAGGCAGGATCTTTGGTAACCCACTTGGGACCCCTTCTATCTCTCTCTCAGACAGAAGCTTTCTTTCTCTCAATAAATATGTTCTGCTCTTAGCCTCTGTTGTTCCTAAAATTCATTCTTTGTTTTTTTGGGGTTTTTTGGGTCTTTTTCCTTTTTATTGGTACCGGGGATTGAACTCACAACTGCCTGCTTGAAAATTCATTCTTTGATTTCAGAGCACACGACCTCATACTGGACCTCTAGTAGGTTGGGAGTTTCATTCCGTATATTATAATCACCCCATCAGTATCTTAATACTGCTTAGAACTGAGAGTGACTCACCTTTGCAATGAGCCTTAAAATAATCACTGCTTAAATGTAAGTGCATTGCATAAATAGCAATAGATGAAAATATCAGTTGTAAGAACTGCTTTCACAAAGTACTCCCCTCAAGAGTGAGAAAAAAATATCAGCTGTATCACTATACTGTGTATCTTATATTAACATACAATGTCACATACTCATAAAATAATAAAATGTTAAAGAATGTGGAATTAGCCGGACGTGGTGGCTCATGCCTGTAATCCCAGCACTTGGGAGGCTGAGGTAGGAGGATCATTTCGAACTTGAGACCAGCCTAGGCTACAAAGTGAGCTCAAGGCCAGCCTGAACTGTATAGAGAGACCCTGTCTCAAAAAGACCAAAAAAAAAAAAAAAAAAGAATGTGGAATATTACTTGCACATAATAAGTTCTCAGCAAATAATTACTATAATATGAAGGCATAGGTGAAAGAGATGGAACCCCTCTCTCCCTTTTAAGAAAGTGTTTATTATAGGAAATTTCAAGTATCACAGAAAGAAGTGTTATACAATCTCATGGACCCACCCATCACAGTTACAAATGTTCTATCATTCTTTACTAAGATCTTATTTCTCTAGCAAAGACCTCAGTATGTGTTTCATCTGAAACTCACCAGAGACACACCAATCAGGATTCACAGTGACTGCCCTCATGCCTCAACATCCCCGCCTTTCTTGACTCCCACACTACAATCCCAACCCCTCACCCCAGACCCACCTGTCTTCCCTTTCAGAGAACAAACAGCCAGCGCTCCTGTCCACCTACGTGTGTTGAGATGTTGTTTCACGCTGGGCAGAGGGCTTTGGAGTTATCCAGCAGTTCCTTTTGCTCTAGGCGCTAATGGGACCCCAGAGAGTCATCTTTCTGGGCCATTCTAGGATGTCTCCAGGCAGCCTGCTGAGACTACTAGAAAACTATGTAGATGATTTGAAGTATGGCATGCTCAGGATGCATAGGGGACTCTGCATTTTCACAGCTGCTAAGGACTCTCCCACAGCCCACAGAGGATGTCACCAATCCAAATCCTGGAGCCATATACCAGCTTTGTGGGCTTGGTGTCCTCATTCTTACTCTGCTTGTCTTCCCACTAGCATACAGAAGCATGTCCGACTGGCCATTACCCAACATTTCACTCTATGATCCCCCTCCCTCTGCATGTCTCCAGGGCTAACACCCTCTACAAAGACCTGAGAGAGAAAACGCATTCAGATTCCCCAGATGTTTTTAACTGATTGCAGAGAACACCGAGCTATGTCCCTGTAGTCCTAGCATTCAGGAGACTGGAGCAAGAGACTCGAAAGTTCAAGGCCAGGCTAGGCAACACAGCAAGATTTTGTCTCCTTTAAAAAAAAACAAGAGCTGGGGCAGGAGATTTAACTCAGTGGCACAAGCGCCAGCCTGGCAAACGTTAGGTCGTGAATTCGATCCCCAGTACCCCCCCCCCAAAAAAAAAGCTGGGCGTAGTCTACAGCGCCTGAAATGCCAGCACTCTGGGAGACTGAGGCATGAGGATCACCTATCCTGAGCAACGGAGCAACCCTGTGAGACCCTATCTCAAAGAAAAAAAAAAAAAAAAAAAACCTGGGAATTAGGTCACTGTGAAGGCCTGGGTTCACTCCCCAGTACCCAAAAAAAAGGCCTGTCTTCTTTCTCCCATTGGTCCCGCACCCTTGGGGTCCTACGGTCCGAAATCCTAGATTTTTTTCCTCCCAAAAGTTAGGCCAGGTTTGCCAATATCCTCCAAATCAAAGCCTAAGATCCCTGAGCGGTAACCACCCCCCACTTCCGGGCAGGTGTTAGTAACCTGAGTCTCCCAGGACTGGCGACAGCTCAAGGACATAGATTCCCTTTCTGGTGGACCGGGTCACAGCGGCTCCGCCCACTTGACCCATACCTCCTAGACACAAATTCAGCGACAGCCAATTGGAACTGGCGACGTTAGCTAGCCGGAGGCGGGGCTTTTGAAAGGCGCGGGGCGGAAGTGGATGTTGTTTGGCTTCCTTCTTCCGTGAGCCGGTGCAGCTGCCTGTGGGACTTTTAGGGCTCCTGCCCACGGCCCAACTGCTGCCATGAGCCGGCCCAGCCGGTTACAGCGGCAAATTCTGAGCCTGTACCGTGAGCTGTTGCGCGCCGGGCGCGGGAAGCCGGGCGCCGAAGCGCGCGTGCGAGCTGAGTTTCGCCAGCACGCCAGCCTTCCGCGCTCCGATGTCCTGCGCATCGAGTACCTGTACCGCCGAGGGCGGCGGCAGCTCCAGCTGCTGCGTTCCGGCCACACTACAGCCATGAGCACCTTCGTGCGTCCGCGAGGCCCGGAGGAGGAGCTGGAGTCGGGACGGCTCCGGTAACCCCGCTTGATGATTGTGATATACAGGAAGTTCTTAAGACGGCATGGGGACACCGGAGACACAACCCAGTGGACGGTGACAGGCACAAGAGCTCACACAGTGACTCAGGAGGACCTGCCTGGTAGTTTGAGGAGGACCGGGACCTCCTCCAATGGAAAGTGAGATCTTGAGACACTCACTCCACCCATTGGGATGGAGAGCCCTGTGATCGACGGCGAGAAACCTTTCCTGTGTTTGGTGACAGGTCAGACCCGCCCCTCTTCCGCCAGCGGGGCTGAGAATGACCTAGGCAGCCAGCAGGCTGGACAGTGTCATGCTAAAAAGCATGAGGAGCTCAGACCTCCCCTCCACCATGGCCCAAGAGAGCCTGAGACTCTTGATCTCTGAAAGCATGCCCACCCCTATCCTCAAACGTACTGCTCCCTGCTGTATTTAACTCTCAGAAGAGCAGACTTGATGAATAGTGAGAGGCCCGGAATCCCCCACTGGAAACTCTCCTTGATTAGGAGGCTGTAACCCTAGTTCATGATCCTAAGGGGCAGCCCTAACTCCTGGACTTCCCCCCTCCAGACTGTTGAACAAAGGGAATAAAATTGGGGCTGTGCTTATTGATGGTCTTAAAGATTTATGTATTTGAGACATACATACTGAGAAGTGGCCCTCTGAGAGATGATGAATGTAGGGAGCTGTCTTTTCCCCCTCTGGAGCCCTTTCTTGGGTAGAAGAAGACCCCACCCTACCTTCAATCCAAAGAGAATCTATTTGACTACTTATTGGAGAAAAATGGAGCAAAAGATGAAATGGTGGAGCTGGTGACCCCAAAGGCAGTAGTAAGGGATCTCGCCACCTCCCTCTAGCCTGACTCAGGAATTTCAGCCTCAGCTACAAGTTGGGAGTTTGATCAATAAGGGCCTTGGGTTGGGGTAGGGAGATGGACTCATAGTCTCTACACATACCCTTTCCACATCCCTTGAGCTATATTTGCATCCTGGGGGGCTTAGAGGGCTGCAGAACCCAAGGCTGTGTCACTACTGGCTCCATGAGCTTGCACTCTTAAGTTCCAAGATGGGAGCTTCTGGCAATGTTGCAGGCAATGAGCAAATCAAGAGGGGAGGAGACTTTCACTCCAGTGTTTCAGAGGAATGGGGTTTGCCAGGTAGGGAGGATGGGAGAGGGAATACCTCCTTTGCGGGAGAAGTTGTGGGGGTGGATGGTAGTTAGGGGCAGGGACCACAGAACTGGAGTGCCAGGTGGAAATCCCAGCTCAGCACTTCTAGATTACATGATCATGGGCAAACAATTTAATCTCCTTATGCCTTTCTGTGCCTCAGTGTCCCTATCAGTGAAAATGGGCATCATGCTGAGTAAAGCATGGGAATATTACACAGGACTTGGCTGGTCTCTATCTGCTGTTTTCTTCCTTCACTCTACTAAGGCCCATTGTTAACATTCTCAACACCCTGTACCTGTTGATTAAACAAGAATTTTCAGTGCAGTTGCCAGTAATCCTAGTTCTTGGGAGGCTGTAGCAGGAGAATTTGCAAGTTCAAGTGTGGCTTAGGCAACTTAGCAAGATCCTGTCTCAAAAATTTTTTAAAAATCTCAGGCAAGAGATTCTTACATGCCTATACTCCCTGCACTTGCAGGAGGAGAATATGTTCAAGAGCAGCCTGGAGTACCTAGCAAATTAAAGAGGAAACCTGGAATATGTAGCTAAATGTTAACAGTGGTGAATCTGGTATATGGAGTGTGTGGGAATTTATTGTAATAGTCTCAAAAATAAATCTAAGGGTTTCTTGATCTAAGAAAATTGCTGTAAAGGACATAGCGGAATTGGAGTAAATATTTTTTTGTTGTTTTTGCAGTGCTATGAATGCAGAGCCTCAGCACATGTTATGCAAGAACTCTTACCATAGATTTATGTCCCCAGTCCTAGGATTGGAATTGGAATAATGTGAAATATGAAATGTGAGTTAATAATAGAATCGATTGCCAGGCGTGGTACACGCCTATAATCCCAGCACTTGGGAGGCTGAGGCAGGATTGCTGTAAGTTTGAGGCCAGCCTGGGCTACATAGTTCAAGTCCAGCCTAGACTACAGTGTCAAAAAAAAAATCTAATTGAACTGAGTTGTTAAATTTGTTGATTTGTTTTGTCTTGTTTTGCTGTTTTGTTTTTTTGAGGCAGGGTTATAGAGAGCCCTTTCCTAGAACTCATTTTGGTCTAGAGGGTTTATATTTGTAATCCTGTGGAGAAGTTATTGGAATTCTAACAAGTTAATTCCACCTACTACTTCTAGTGCAACCCAAGACAAGCATAAAAACACTAAGACATGTATATATAGTTATGAGAAGCCAAAAAGGTCCTGATGGGTTCCACTCATATGGGACTCTGCCAGACTTAACGTAGCACCTGCACAACATGGCGCTGGGCCCTAAAACGCATGCCAAAGATTCTCCAATCCTCTCCTGACACCAAGATCTAGTCTTTACCCCCAGCCCAACTCATAAAAACATTTTCCAGCTTTCCCTTTTGAGGGTCCTCACAGTCTCCAGTAAGCCTCCTGTACAGTAAAAGGCTTTTATTATCTCTAGCTTGTCTCTCAGCTGCACCAAAAAACCTAACAGTCCTAAATCCAGCCAAGATGCTAGTTCACCAGAACAAAGGCCATGGCCTAGGGCTTAACCTGGGTTTCATTAATTCTCTACAAGGGAGGGGCTGGGGATTTAGCTCAGCGGCATAAGCACCTGCCTTGCAAGCAGGCAGTCGTGAGTTCAATCCCTGGTACCGATAAAAACCGAAAAAGACAAAAAAAAAAAAAAAATTCTCTACAAGGGGAGTGGCTCAGGGAGGAGTGACAATGAAGTGGGGGGGGAATATGTGAGCTCTGTGAGCTGAGCTAGGTAGGAGGCCTGAGATCACCTCTGTGATGTGCAGAGGACAAGAAATGCAGACAGAATACTCTGTGAAATACATATGAGGTTGTATGTAAGACGTCGGGGTCGGTGCTTTAGCTCTGATGTAAAATCTTTTTTGCCCTGGGAAGTCAGCCTCTTATCTCAAGGCTCCCTCCCAGTCAGCAGTGTGGAGCGCGGATCTGCATCCCCCCCTGTGTCACTTACAGAGAAGCAGCAACTGTCACCTTGCTTCAGGGATTACACATCAGCTCCTCAGCCAGCCCAATTTACATTGCTTAAAGTCAGTTGAAGCAACAAAGAAATGGCCTAGCCATTTCTGTACATATCAGTACAGAAAGATAGGACCAAATTTATCCAAAATGGAGCTAACTGCTCTTTTTTCCCCACACGGGTCTCACTATGTAATTCAGGCTGGCCTTGAGCTCACTATATAGTTGGCCTCAAACTCAAGACAATCCTCCTGACTCAGCCTCCAGAGTGTTTGGAATACATGCATGTAAATCCACCCTCACATTTCCTGTATTCTAACTGTATTCTAATTGTAGAAGACATTGTCATTGTTTGGGTTCTGTTTGTGGTGCTGGGAGTCAAAAGTCAGGGACTCACACTTGGGATTACAAGTGTGTAATACCACACCCGGGGTGAAGGTAATTTGTACAATATTTTTAACAATTTTGAACCAGGCATGGTGGCATTCACTTACATTTGTCCTAGCTACTCTCAAGGCTGAGGCAGTAAGGTCACTTAGCTCAGGAGTTCTAGGCCAGCTTCAGTGACATGACATGCTGTTTCAAAGATTAATAAATTTAAAACTTTATTCACAAAACAAAATTTTATGATATGGAATTTTCCAGTTGTGGCATCAAATCAGTGCTCAGAACATTTCAAGTTTTTAGATTTCAAGTTTTCTAATCAAGAATGTCAGTGTCTTACTAGTCATCAGCTCTGGGTACCAGAGATCAGCACACATGATACAGTGTCTTGTAAACATGAAGCTGTTATTTTCTGAGACTGTATAAAACTTGTGTGCATGGCTGCTTGTTCACAGATTTTGTAATTAATGAAATAAAACTTTTTTTTTTTTTTGGCTTTTGAAAAAAAAATAACATCTGGTCTCCTTTAAAGATGCTGATCTTCCACTTTCACGAGTGGAAGTAGTGGTGTACTGCTATTATTCCAGCACTCAGAGAGGCTGAGGCAGGAGGATTGTAAATTCAAACCCAGCCTGGGCAATTTAGTAACATAGTGAAACACTGTCTCAAAAACTTAAAAAATTTAAAAAGGGCTTGACCTCATTATGTACCCCAGGTGGGCCTTGAACTTACAGGGATCCTCCTGCCTCAGTCTCCAGAGTACTAGGATTACAATTATGCACCACTGTGTCATGGTTTATGTTGGTGGCTTCATGCATTTGCATTATGCATTTGTGATTGGTTCATTGTCTAGTGCTTGGATTGATGGTGTCAGTGCTACATCCACATAGGGGTGGAGCCAGCATGTTATGTAATGGCAGAAAGAAGGTGTGTCTTGCTCCTTTGCCACTTTCTACCTTGCTGTTTGCAGCCACCATGAACTGTAGCCCCGACATGCCACTCTGCTTTGGAGCCAACTGAGTATGGACTGAAACCTCCAAAAACTGTAAGAAATAAAACTTTCCTTTCACAACTTAGCATCAGGTATTTTGTCTCAGTGATGAGTAAAAAGTAACTAAGACAACCACCATACAGAACTTAATCTTAAATATTTAAAGTAATTTAAGTTAAAAACGGAAGTAGCATATTTTTTGTCATGCAACTTTATTGTTTGGGTAGGGTAATATACTTTATCTGCAGAAAATTTAATGTCCAAACTGAGACATTATTAAATATGAAATATATACAAGATTTCAAAGACTTGGTAAGAAAGAGAGATTGTAAAATGTCTCATTTCTATATTTACTATATATTAAAGTAATATTTTGGGCAAACTAGATAAAATAAAATCTGTTATTAAAATTAATTTCAACTAATTTGGGGGTGACAATGTGCAATGTATGTACCATTGTTACCCCAATTGAGTGCTCTGAGATTTTGTTGTGGTTTCTTCCTCTTCCTCTTCTTCTTTTCTTTCTGTTTCAATAAAATGGATTTGAAAAATAAATCATGCTAGTCCAGTTTAAAAAATTCAGTTCACCTATTTCTACTGCTTTAGTCTGACTACTCAAACATTTTAAGTTGCATTTATGGCTGACATTATATATTTATGGGACACCACTGCATTGGGCATCCATGCAGCATGGTTCTTCACTACAGTTTGCCATAAAGGCATAATTATAATGACAGGATTGTATCTTTGATGCCTTCTTCAACTGCACTAAATTGTCCTCCCTGTGTAAATGAAATAGAGATAAACTTTTCTGCCATTCCTTGGCTTATTTTTTCCTCCATACCACTCCCCACCACCTGACCTACTATACTTGTATATTTTACTGGCTTTATAATATTGTCAGTTTCCCTCAGTAGAATGCAGTTCTACAAGGACAGAGATTTTAATTTGTCCTGTTCACTGTCCTACTTCTGCTTCTTGACCGGGGCCTGGTTCATAGCAGTCAGTATGCTAAATTGAATGAGTGAATAAATGAATGACAGAATGACAGATTTGCTCCCTTACTGGGTCTATATTGCTAGCCCTATTTTCTGGTCATGCCTTGGGGGCAGAGATATGGTCTGGCTTTTAAAATAAGTCAGATCCAGTTTGCATTCTGACTTTTCCCTAAATCTACAGTCTTTCACATAACTGCTACTTGCCACTATTCCCGCAGTATCCCTTCTGCTTCGAGTAACAATTCTCTGGTTGTCTTTGGAGGCTCATCCCACTCCCACTTTCAGTCTGCATGGTTCAGGCAGGGCTGACCCCAGTGAAAATGAGCCTTGTGGCCATGCCAGAGGAACCAGACTTAGGGCTTTTTGGTTTTCTTATTTTTAGTGCCCACGTTCAAACCCAGGGCCTTGTGCATACTAAGAAAGTGCACTTACCACTAAGCCATTGCCTACAGGTTTTCAGGGACACTCTGCCCTTCACCAGGAAAAGGATAAAGCCTTTTGAGCCAGCATGGTGGCTCATACCTCAAAAAAAAAAAAAAAGCCTGAGAGATGGAGACCTCATTTGAGTCCCTGATCTAGCTGTACCTGTTATCCTGAGCTTCTTAGTTACTCACAAAAATAAACTCCCATCTCCATTTATAGTGGGTGAAGGTTGGGCTTCAGTCACTTGCTCTGTATGTGGCCTCAGCCTATGTCTTCCTCTCTTGGAGCCTAACTTAGTGGAACCACATAACTGGACAGCTGTGAGAATTCAAAGAGCAGACATCTGTGTGAACTGTACATCCAGAAGACTAGCACAGGGCTCCTGCCTCTGCTCTCCACTCTAATTCTGTTCCCATATTTTCCCTTATGCTTTAAGCTTGGAGGAGCCTAGACTACAGGATCAAACACTGACAATTCATTCCTATGTTGTCAAGACTCCAGGAAGAAGAGTCTCACAGTCTTTGGCTAGGTGATGGTCCCCTGGGAAGCCCTCCGCCCCATCATAGGATGTCTGATGAGAGGTCCTGTGTAGGACACAAGTCAGGGTATTATCAGGTGCTGCTGGCAGCTCACCCAGTCACCTGTTCTTCTCGCACCTGCATCTAGCCTCCTGTTTTGAGCAAGGCCTTTATGGGAAGCATAGGCAAGAAATGCTAGTGAGTCCAAGTCTCCAGGAAGAGTCCTCATCAGTGAGATGGGAGCTGATATATAAAGCCACAACTTCTTCATCCCTTGGATGGAATGACTTCCAGTGTGTTCCACACAGTTTCCCAGAAGTCCCCAGTAGAATGGTACTCCAGGTACCCAGAGCAGCAACCACTCCATTAACTCACACGATAGTGGCTTTCTCCTTCCTCCAACTCACTCTGCCTCCATTCCCCCTCATATCACCTCCCAAATCAGCTCTTCAACTTGAATCTGTGTCAGGACCTGCGAGACCCCAGCCCAAGATAAGCTTGTTCAGTTTTATGCTCTGTGCTCAAGACAAGGGGCCTGTAGAGGAAGATGTCCAGACGGGGGGGGGGGGTGTATTCCAGGTTCTAGGGACTCAAGCACCCAACATTCTCACACATACTTTGAGAGTGACCATTTATTACTCATGTCTGGGCTGAGTACTCAAACTGGGGGGAGACCATTGACATAGCTGAGCACCAAGTAGGGTGTCCTGGCCAGTTTGCCATGAGAGCAGCAGGGGCCCCCCAACATGCGCAGGAACAATGTGGCACCCACCAGGAGAAGGAAGATGAGGAGGACAAGGAGGAAGGTTCTGGGCCTCCTGGATGCAGGAGCAGGGTCCCTGAAAAGGGAAATGCAGTGTCAAACATGCCAGTGGGCCGCCACCATGAGCCCTGCCTCCCATACCCTCAAATGCACTCTCCAAACACCTCACCCATCAGCAGCCTCCAGCATCATGTCCTGGAGATTGGGAGATGCTTGCCTTTTCTTGTCCTGAGGGGAGATGGCAGCCCACAGCAGAATAGATGGAAGTATGAACTTTACTACTTGTGAGATTAGTCTTATCTCTCCTTTCCTGGCATTTCTGCTATCCCTAGGGCCCCACATGGACTTAGGATATCTTCAAGTGTGTTACAAGTCTGTTTGTGCAATCTGATCCCTTTTTTTAAAATATAATATTGGTGTAAATTGGGAGAAGGCAGCAGTCATACCTCCCTACTCTTAGACCTACAGGCTCATGCAAAGTTATCTCATTCCCCCTACATTCATAATTGGGTATGGGACCCAGATGTGGTTAATCAAAGAGCCCTGACTAGTTCAGCATACACCCATGACCCAAGCCAGGGAGGCGGAGTCAGTGCTGGGACCTTGGCTGCTGCCCATGGGTCAAGGGCGCTCCTTGCTCCTGGAGTGGGCAAACCAATAGAAAGTAAGTGTACCAGTGCTGATAAAGAAGCCACCTGGGGGAAGAAGAGCCCAAGAGAAGGAGGGACTGGGTACTTAGAGCATTTGAGATCTTGAATTCAGCCAGGTTGGGATCTTCAATTATAGGGGAGAGAGGTCCCTGTTTTTTGTGTGTTGGTTTTTTAGTTTGGGTTTCTATCACCTGCCATAAAGGACCCCAAGTGGTACTACCTGGGTGAGTACCAGCTCACCTGAGGCTTTTGGAGCAGAGGGCGTCTTCGGTGACCTCCTAAGTGTTCCCAGTGGCTGAACCCAGGCACAAGGATGTCCTGTGTGGAGAGGGAGGTATTCTATTCTTAGAGAACCAGTGACAAAGAGTAACATGGTCACAGAAGGACCATGTAGGAGAGTGTCATAGAAGTGGCATTCTTGGGGAACAGTGATCTTACAGAAGACAGAGCCAAAGAAACCAAAAGGGGATAGATATTATTTATTCATTTGCTCAACAAATATTTAATGAGTATCTATTACATGCCAGGTACAGTTCTAGGTCTGAGGGCACAATGGGGATGGAAACAGGCAAAATCCTGGCCTCTGTGGAGTTTATGTTCTGGCCAGAGGGACCAAAAATTAATAAATGCTGGTCAAGCTGTGGTAAATCAATCAGGAAATCTAGCAGGAAGATAAGGAGTGCTAATTGGGAGCTAGGGCAGGCCTCTCTGAAGTGACACCTGAGGAGAAACTGAACTGAGGTGAAGTGAGCTGGCCGTGCCCTTGGGAACCCCAAGATGGCAGTGCCATTTGTGTGTTTGCCAAAGGGCCTGGAGTATGGCCATAGCCAAGAAGGTAAGGGGCAGAACGAAATGAAATGAGGCTGAAGATGCAGATAGAAACAAATGGAGAGAAAAAGAAACAAATGGGGGGCTGGGGATTTAGCTCAGCGGCATAAGCACCTGCCTTGCAAGCAGGCAGTCGTGAGTTCGATCCCTGGTACCAATAGAAACAAAAAAGACAAAAAAAAAAAAAAAAGAAAAGAAAAGAAACAAATGGAGAGTGGGAAAAGTATGATATAGGAATCCATGAAGACAGAGACAGATAATGGGAGTGGAGAAACCTTAGAGACATCAAGAGAGAAGGACAGACAGAGCCACCAAGACCTTGAATAACAAGGACCCTTCTCAAAGGCAGACAGAAGAGCTCTGTGGTTGCCTGACTGAATGGAAGATACTCAAAAGGAACTGCTCTTACCTCAAGGCTTTGTCCCCTGCCCCGGGGGCCCCTCTGGCCACACAGTTCACAAGGAATCCCTGGAGCCTGGGCTGTCTTTTGCCCCAAAACCCCAAGGTCCCCAACATCCGCTGCTGGGTCCCACTCCAACTCTGCAGGAGTGAGGAGGTTACTGGGTGCCCAGGACCCCCAGACTCCACCAAGTCCTGGCCCATCTGAGTCCCCTTCGACCTCCAAATCCCGGTCCAATGTGTTGGCCTTCTCGAACACCTGGGTCAGAAGGCAGAGGTCATGGGAGTTGGGGGACTGGTGTTTGGGCTGGGGACCACCGGGGGTGGGGGGCATACCAGGCTATAGCTGACCAGTTGGGCCTGCAGCTGCCAGAGCCTTCGGAAGATGGTGTGTCGGTAGGCTCTGAGGGTCCTCAGGATCTGCTCCAAAGATGCCCAGGCCATGGGCTCACTTCGCTGCACCAACCCCTCACCAAATGCTAGCAGTGAGTCCACACGTTCTGCTGCTCCTCGAAGCTCTGCCTGCAGGGCCTGGGACACATGGTTGGACCTCGTCTACACACACACACACACACACAGATACACACCAGGGACACAAGGGACTCACAACCTGGAGTCACCTACTCCTCTATTTCTTATGCAGAGACCTAGAACATGCAATAAGTCCACTTCCACCTCATTGCCAACCTGAAGCTGGGCCATCCCACTCTGGGCCAGTGTCCAGGGCCTGAGGCCTTGCTCCATGTCCTGTAGTCGGAGGCCCAGCCCCAACAGGCAGAGCTGCAGGCTGTCATGCTCAGCCTCCAACACATCGTGGCCAGAGACAGGGCGCTGAGGAATACAGGGGAGCGGAACAGGACCAGTGGGTCAATCCAGACACTATTCCCATTCTTCTTTAGGCTGTGGCCTTCTAGATGCTTCTCTGCAGCAGGGTCCAGCTATCTCTCACCTGCACCAGGGCTGCTCACACTTAGGAGCTTCCCACTTGGGAGTGGGAATATCTAATTCAAGGACTATGGATTTTCAAGCTTCATGGAAACTTGGCTATGTGGGGTTAGAGGTCTGGACAGAGAGGTGTGATGAGGCTGGGTAGCCCCAAGAAGAATGGGGCTGCACCAAAACTAGTCATTAAATACTTCTTAGTTGATAAAATACTTAGAAATTTCTTAGATAGACAAAGAAACCTTTTCCAGATGTTCTTCCCTGCACTAATGCACAACAGCTTTCCAGAATCCACTCCCTCACCTCCAGGGTAGAAGACAAATTCTGGAGGACAGAAAGAAGGTAGGGCTGGTGCAAGGATCTCACCTCATGGACCTTGCTTCCAGCTGTTTCCTCATGAGAAGAGGGTGCTGGTGTTCTGGGGGCATTGGCAGCAGGCTCAGTGCCTCTCGGTCCACCGTGGAAGTACTCAGAAGGGTCCAAGGAGTCCTGGGCCTGCTCTGGCCTGGAGGTAAAGAATATGGACTGGCCTCTGTATGAGCCACTGTGGCTTATTTTCTACTCTACCCTAACCCCATCCCCAGTGATCACAACCACAGTACTGCCTGCCCTCAAATGGTCCCACCCTCAACCCCAACCTTTTGGGATCAGCTTTCAAAAGCCCCTGTCCCTACCTGATTGTCTCTTCTCCCAATTCAGGACAGATGGTGCACTGGTCAACTTCTGGCTCCCGAGGGGCTCCTGGAGGATGACTAAAGGGTTCTGAAGGGAGTTTGGGATTCAGAGATGAGGACAAGGACATAGCTGAGGGCTTGGAGACAGAAGGTTGGGAAAAGACACCTGATAAAGCCCCTTCCCTAGTCAGCAGTGTTCCTCAAACCTCTTCAGCTTCAGTCCCAGAGGCAAAGCTGGCTCCACCCCTTCCTAGAGGAACCTGCACCCAAGTAACCTGATGCGCTGCTGAGGTGACAGCAGTCACTTAACTCCTTCCTAGCTGAACCTTCCAACATCACTGCACCAACCCATCCCAAAGGTTCCATATAGAAAGTCCCCACACACCCCAAGAGCCCTGGACTCTGCCCCCCGCCACACACACACACACACACACACACACACACAGTGATTCACACTTCTGACTTCCAGGGCCCACCTATCCACTTAAAGTCCCAAGCACTTTGTTCAGGAGTCCAAGCATCTTTACTCCCATTTTGCCAAAAAAAGTGTAATAATAATAATGAACAGGGTTTGGTGGCACACATCTGTCATCCCAGCACCCAAGATGCTGACATTGGGGGTTCCCCAACACTTTTGGATTAGATAATGAGTCCAAGACCAGCATGAACAGCATAGTGAGACCCTGTCTCAAACAAACAATCTAAAACCGAGTGTGACAGAGAGAGACTGTTTATTTCAAATGGGGTGGTTCCAACAGTTTCTGAGAAAATAAATAATCCTTCCTCTATCCCAGGGTTTCAAGATTACAAGGTCACAGTCACAACAGCCCAGAGGGGACAGGAGCCCAGGAATCCTAGCAGGCCCTGAAGCCTGTTGGGTCACTTGCTGAGCAGGAGGTTGGCGCGCAGCACACGGGGCACACGGCGGATGGTCAGTGAGACTCGGGTGCCGCGCACCAGGCAGGCTCCGGGCCGTGCAGATTGGCAGGCGGCTGCGTTGGCTGGCAGCGAGGTGGCATCCAGTGTGTCTACGGGGGCGGCCGCGATCCCATGCAGGAGGCGTGTGTAGGCGGTGCCGCGGAGCACTAATAGGCTGCAGGGCTCCAGCAGCAGTGAAGTGGTGGGCCTGGGTGGTGGCCGGGGCTGCAGGGCAGGTTGAAGGTCAGTGGGTATCCAGAGACAGGGCGGGTGAAAAGCCACTAGGTTTCTGGGAACCAGAGGACTAGGGTCAGCAAGTCCTTAGGGCAAAGGCTGAGCAAAAGGCTTGCTCCCAGGGATACAGACATTGGTGGTTGAGGAATGAAAAATCTGGATTTCCGGGACAGGACTATTGGGCAGGGAAGAAAGGGCCAAGGGTCAGCAGGCCCTCTAGGGAGGGCAGGAAGGAGGCCACAGATGGGGATGTTGAAGGATCGGCAGGGTGTGCAGCTGAGATAGAGATCAGCTGTCCCAGAACACCTGAGCAGAACAAGATGGTGAAACATAGCTGAGGGCCAGATCAGGTCAGGACAGTGAGGAAGAGGTCAGAGGGAGTGTGATATACAAGGACATTAAAGGACACTTGTAGAAGGAGGCATGTCAGAGTATCCAGAGCCACACAGGGCTAAAGGGACATCCTGAGGAAGAGGGATCTGTGAACATTGGGGTATCAGAAATGCATGGCATAGACAGTTCCCACACAAAGTTCTTACACATGTGACAAGGAGCAAGGAGAATCTGGAAGTGTCCCACACTGCAGATCACATTACTTAAGTGGCAAGATATGTGTTTGTGGTGGTGGGTAGAGTCAGGACATGTGGGAGGATCCTGAGGCACTCATGAGTAAATGATATTGGAATCTCTGATAGCAAGATATCTGTTGGTATACTGGGGAGCCCAAAATGGGTATGTGAACCTTGGGCTGTTGGAACACAGGGTGGGGAGCCAGGGTGTCTGTAGAGGGCCAGGGTCATCCACTAAGCAGGGAGGAATACTGGAGTATCTATGGAGATCATGGCAGTTGAGTTCAGTGTCCAGGAGGAAGTAGGTTGTGCTCCATAAGAGGAAAGTGTCTAGATGTCAGGGATATCTCAAAGGCAGGTGGGATCTGGTCATTCTGGAGGATGTTGGATGTCAGAATGCACCAAGGGCTTGGGGCAGCATCTTGAGGCCCACCTGTTCTGTGACATCATCGTCCTCTGGTTGCCGCGGCTTGTAGAGATCCAGCATGGTATGGGAGCCCAGGCTGATGGTGCTGACAGTCGGGTAGTACAGTGGTCCATCCTCATGCGGCTGGAGAGTGGGCACCAGGGCTGGGCAGGGCAGGAGTGTACCTCCCCACCCTCTGGGTCATAGCAGGGCTCCCAAGCTGGGACAGGAGATGAATGCTGGATGGGGTTAAGTGGCCACTCCATGAGTGTGAGGTGGGTATGCATGACACCCTGTCCTCTGATAGTTCAGAGGTCTGGGAGGAGCTGGTTACTGTAAGAGCTGGGGTGAGGGTATGTGGTTACCATGATGCCCTCCCCAGGCAGATACTGGTTCACGAGGACATGGTTAGCTGGGAGACCCCCAAAAAGGCTGAGATCAGACACCTTATCCACGTAGCGCTGGAGCCATGGGGGCAGCCGCTCAAGGACCATCCCACGGGGATGGGGGAGCCCACCTGGAGAGTACAATGGGGTCCTGAGGCTACTCCACCAAGGAGCCCTGAAGCCCCCATGAGGGATATCCCAGTGGCTAGAAGCACCCTGACCCTGAGTGATCCCCTGATTCTTTGGAAATCACCAGTGGTCCCTCCAAAAGTTCTTTGACTTTTCCAGACCACTGGACCCTGAGAGATAACTCCCAGTTCACCAGAAAATCTCTAATCTCTGAGGATCTCCACTGACCCCTCAGAATATTCTTGGCTCTTAGAACCCCTGGAACCCTCAGGGATCCCTCCTTCCATGTCTTAAGACTACTGGAATGCGCTCTCTGCCCAGCTCACATCCCAGAATCAGTCATGCTCCAGTCAGGGACACTTACCCCAGTTTTGTAACTTCCTCCCAGATAGCTGGGTCCACTTTGGCTTTGGGGCATTGTAAACCTAGGAGGTGGAGAAAGGATTGCCCTTTTTTTTTTTTTTCGTTTTCATCTTTTTCGTTTTTATCGGTACCAGGGATTGAATTCAGGACCACACACTTGCAAGACAGGCACTTATGCTGTTGAGCTAAATCCCCAGCCCCAGGATCACCCTTTTTTAGGACCATCCCTCCGTGACTCTCCTACCCAGACCAACACAGGGTGTTCTGCCTGGGATAGAAATGAATTGAGTTGGGTTTATTCTCTGAGGAAGTATGTTCATAGGATTTTTTTTCCCTTGGGAGGCTGTTGGTCCCAAAGCATTCAGGTGTTCACCAGGGCTGAGAAAAGGAATGTGGGCTGCACAATCATGGTCTGAATCTACTCAGAGCTCTGGGACCAACCTAGCCTCTTTTAGTAATCTGTACTCTGATTTCCTGATTCTTGAATTAGGAATAGCCTGAGGTTTGGAATCTTCTTGTTCCTATTGCCCAGAGGAGACAGCACACTAAGATGACTATCAGTGCAGCAAGGAAAATATTTTTAAAATCCTCCACTGCCAAGATCCAAAGTATCTAGAATAGACTATCTCAGTGTAAGAAATTATACTCTAGTTGATAATCGCATCCTCAGTGTGGTTGTGGGACTGTCCTGGTATATGAGTGGGGGATTTAAAATATGTAAAATTTTCAATCCAAACCAGGCATGGTGGCACATGCTTATTATCCCAGTACTCAGGAGGCTAAGGCAGAAGGATCACAATGAGTTTGAGGCTAGCCTGGCTACATAATGAGTTTAAGACCAGTCTGCATTACCAAGCAAGACCCTGTCTCAAAAAAAATAATAATTTAAATCCAAAAAACCCAGAGTTCTGGTATGTACTATCTCAGCCTAAGAGCCAATTTCTTCAGCTAATTTGTTCCTGAGACTCCAGCTCACATGAGTTACCCTAGCAGAGACATTTGGGCTCTGTAACTACTACTCTGGGGCTGTAAAAAGATATGCCAGTGAAGGGACCCTGACTTTTATAAATTCTTCCTTCTGTAAACCTTAAGAATAGAATATAGACTGGGCCATTTAGCACTTATTAACCTTGTTCCTCAGTCTATATTTATAACCTGCCTTAAGATAGGATTTTTGCCAGGTGTGATGGCACCTGCCTGTAATTCCAGTACTCTGGGAGGCTAAGGCAGGAGAATCAGGAGTTTGAGCTCTGCTTAGGCAATTTAGCAAGACTTGTCTTACAAGATAGATAGACAGACATAGATAGACAGACAGACAGACAGACAGATAGATAGATAGATAGAACACAGCATAATTGGAGCAAGGCATGATGATGCATACCTGAAATCCCAGCTACTCCATAGGCCAAGCAGGAGGAATGCAAGTTTGGGGCCAACCTGGACAAATTTACTGATACCCTATTCACAATTTTAAAAAAAGACTGAAGCTGTGACTTGGTATTCTCTGAGTTCAATAAATAAGTAGTACTGGGGGGAAAAAAAAGGATAGTAGCATTGGGTCCCTGGTAGAGCATTTGCTAGAAGTGAAGCTATCTCAGTATAAGGAGTATGCATTTCATAACTACTTCATTCCCAAGACTCTGGGTTACAGTGGGCTATTCCTGCACAAGGAATCTGACATACATAGTATCATCCTTGCTTTAGAGGCTAGACTGGGCTACTTCAGTACAGGGAGTCTAAGTTTCCCAATAGGAAACCCTCATTTCTAGGAATCAGTTTGGTTTCCCTAGACCCCTTAGAAAAAGCCCTTTCTGACAGGCCCTAGCAGTTCTTGAGAGAACAAGCAGAATGGAAGATGGGTGCTATGTATGTCACATCTTCTTCTCTGACAGGTCTTCACTTGCAGCCTTGAGAGGTCTCAGAGGCTGGGGTTTGAAGAGAGACATGGGAAGAGGGAAAAGCAGACTAGAAGGCACTGGGATCACCTGTCGAAGCAAATATTCCTCCTCTTCTTTGGAGATGAAGTCAGGGACATAGTAGATTACAGGTGGTGCCTGCAATGGAGAGACACCTCTGAAGATGTAGGCCTTTGCCCCACATAGGGACTCTACCATCACTGAGCAATCTCTCGTTCTGGGGAGAGGCTAAGGATGTCAGGAGGGTCTGAAGTCAAGGGACCCATGCCCATTCCCGGGGTGATCTGAGAGTGGAACTCTAAAAATGAATTTGGAGTGAGGAGGCAGTTCCAACCCATGGACCCAGGAGTCACCCTGGTCATCCCACCCCACCTCCCACTCTCTAGCCCCCACCTTCACCCTCTGCATCCCCAGTCCTGACAACCTGGTTCACCCTGAATGGTTCCAGGGCTGGAACCCTGACATCCTCCTCCTCCATTGACAGCAACTGCTTGTACCCAGTCCTGTGGGGAGAGGAGGACATAATGAAATCACTAAGCCTCCCACCCTCTGGCCATGACTCATCCTTCCACCTGATCAAGGCCCAAGGCCTCACCTCAGCCCTCCTGGGAAACTCGGCCTCTAAAACCCTCTCAAAGTCCCCCCCACTCCAGCCCTGTTTAAACACAGTGAGCACTTAGCACACTTCTCTGAAACTCTGTCCGCTGCATGCCCATCAAACTACGCAGTTGTCCTCTCAAGCCTTACACAGAACATCCTCTGACCCCACACAAGCTTTTCTAAAAGCTCTCAGGACTACACCCCAAAGCCCCACTGAACACGATACCCTATTCTAGACCTGCAACCATGAGCGCGACACTCAGAGCCTTACCAACCCTCCTCTGGCCTCGGGCCTTTTAGATGTCTCATTCTGAGCATCCGTCTGCCCCTAATCTGCAGCTTCTTCTCAGACATGTCCACTTTCAGCCTCCTTGGAAGCTCTTCCTCTGGACCCCTTCAGACGGAACTAACTCTGACTCGTCTCAAATCTTAGCTTCCCGAATCCCTCAGACCCCGATTCTGAATCCTTTAGAGTTCCACGATGAGCTCCGTAGGACTCCCACTGAGCTTTCCAGGATCCCTACTCCCAGCCCTCTTGGACACTCATCTCTGCCCCGGTCACCACAAAACTGACCGTCCACCGGTGTCCCCTCCAATTTCCAGATTTCAACATCCCCCAACCCCTTTCCAACCCACTTCCGCCCTCACTTGTTTGACGAAGGAGTCCGCAGCCAATGGAAACCCTCAGAGGTTGTAATGTTCCGCCTTCCAGCCAATCGGCGCTCTCATTCGGTATTTGCCCGGCCCCTTTAGCTTCGATCAAGGATAGGGGGAAATCCCTAGCCTCTGAGCCTTTGGGGATTTAGTGGAGGCGGGCCTTATCTGACACAGACCAATCGGGACACTGGAACAGAAGCTGTCCACTCTCAGGCGTAGGTCCTCGGGAACGGCTTCGAGAAAAGGGCCTGTTAAATGTTCTTCCTTCACAATAGGCCATTCAGGGCCCGTGACGCGGGGAGGCGAGATTGAGAAAAGGTCTTCCTTTTCATCCTATCGCAGCAAGGGTATACAGGCAGGACCCCCCCCCCATAATCCTCGAACAATGACTTCACACAAAGAGGCCATACGTCTTTATTGAAGAGGACAGGATCATGCGGAATTTAGGGACATGCAGTGAAGGGGCAGTCGTGAGCTGTCCTTGGTGGTCAGGGCCCTGGGTCCGCCCTGGACCCACGAGGCCTCCAGGTTCTCCCTCAGGCTGTTGATCTGGCCCAAGTGCTGTACGGGGCCAGTAACTCTGACTTAGTGTCTTAGACCTGTAACCAGAAGGTAGATTGAAATCGGGGCTCCAAGACTGGGGGTCCCCTCAAGGCTTCTGGGACCCTCCATGTATTAAATATGAAAGCTTTAAGATTTGGGGTTCCCTGGGGGTGGAGGCTCTTGGAATTTGGGGTTCTTGAGGTCTGTGAATTTGGTACTGAAGTTCTCTAATTTCCAGGAATGTAAATTCCTGCTTGGGAGCTCAGGGCGCCTGTGAAAAGGGCTAGGGGTTCTCTATGAGCCTGGAATACACACTCTGATTCAGTCTCCTCTATCCCAACCACAGAGACTTCATCATTGGCATTGCCTGGGGATTGGGGACTGAGAATTTTTAAATTTGGGATTCCCTGGGGATTTGAAGATTCCATGATTTGGGGGTCCTGGGAGTTCAAATTTTGGGATCTTCTAGAGGCTTTAGGACTTGAGGGCACAAGGGAGTGGGGGATATATATACTCTGGGGCATAGGATTCCCAGAGCCCCAGAATGGGGTCTCCAAATTTGGGTTCCCCTGAAGGGGGAACTCGTTACTTTAAAAAATAGAATTTTCTGGGGGCCTGGCCATCATAGGGTTTGTGGGCCATGTGGGGTGAGTTTCATACAAGGCACTGGGGGTTTCTTGAGGGTGCAGAGGGTAGGAAGAGTTGGGGGTCCTGTAATTAGCACTTCCAGGACTATTTTGGTGTCAGTAAACTGAGGGTGACAGTGGGCTAAAGTGGGTCTTTTCTTGAGGATAAGAACAAAGTCTTTGTATTTAATGGAGGGAGTCTGTGATGGGGGTCTAGAGTGTAAGGGTTTTGGGATGACCATGAGGTCACATCTTGACAGTACTGAAGTTAAATAGAAATAGTGACTTGGTCTGCTATTCTGGAGCTGTTATCTGTGTTTATTTCAAGGGGAACAGGGGGAAGGGGTCTTGTTAATGGTAGGGTTCTGATCCCCACTGATGAGTGACTCAAGAATGTTCTGTTCTAGAGCACTGTGTGGAGAGAGGCTTACCATCATTTGGGGTGATGTGGAAATCTGTTAGTTGGGGATTTGCTTTGAGGGGCTGGGGACAGGGGCTAACCTGAAGGTGCTACTCAGGGAATTTCTTTCTGGGGTGACATAAGGTCTGTATTTTGGGAGGGTTGTCATGGGGCATTTGTTAATAATGGGACCTCAGTGATCGAGGGCTGGCTAATGGGGAGTCTCTATTCTGGAAGTGTTACTGGGAATCTCTATCTCGGGTGACTGGGAGCTCCTGTGTCAGGAGATGCTGGAGAGACTCTTGTGTCTCTGTGGTAGCCAGAGCCTTTAAGACTGCATTTCTGCCCGCAGCATCCAAGGAAACCAGCAGCAGAAGAGTAACCTGAAATGAGAATCAGATACTCAGTGATGAGTGTGTAGGAATGTCTGGTACTGTCACCCTCCCTTCAAATATATCTCCATGTTTGGGATTCTGCCTCTGACTGCTCTCTTAGGCTTTAAAAGACTAGAGATGTTCTGTTTCCTTTACTTGTTCCATGAAGACTGAAGTCACTAGAAGTCAGTGTTGGGTCTTTCACCCTAGAGATTGCTTCCAGATGTGCTTATTGATCACAACTTTTCCTAGCTTTTATTTCCAGCCCCTACTTGAGCTCCTGACTCCTATATCAAACAGTTCTGTGAATGCTGCTCCCTGCACATTCTGCAGGAGAAGAGGAAAAGAGTTGGTCACACACCTGGAGATAGAATTCTCTGATGCGATGTCCTTTGGGGTCCGGACTGTCGTGAAGGTGCGTTTAGGTTGTGTCACTGGAGAGGAGGACAGAACAGCAGGTGACGGGATAGCAGACCCTATCTCCTTAATACCCACCCAGACTCCTTGTCATTAACATCCACTCATGCTCCCTGGATCCTACATTCCTGGTGCCCATCTAGCTGTCTTGTCAACATTATCCATCCACTGTGTATCCCCCAATACCTGCCTGGATCCTCAGATCCTAATGCCTGCTCAGACCTCTTTGTTTCCATTTTGTTTTGCTTTGTTGTGGTAATGCAGGAGACAGAATCCAGGGTCTCACATATACTAGGCAAATTTTCTTCCACAGGAATACACCTCCAGCTCTCAGAGTCTTGTTAACTTTCCCATGTCATACAGCACCCATCATCTTTGGGACCCTGCCTCATCATTTTCCTAGATCTTGTGTCCCCAAGTACATATCAGAGATTGTCACCAACATATCCTGAGAACCCATGACCTCTCCACATATGCTCAGACCTATACTTCTTCCCACATCCCAACCCCCAACTCACTTGTCACTTGATGTACTTTTTTGGCTCCAACATTGTCCCCAGGGGGATCAGTGGATCCACCAATCCTGAGGAGACATAGGAATGGGAAATGTCAGCCACAAAAGGCCAGGTCTGGCTGGGTGCTGAGCCCTAGGATGTCTAGAGATGACAGCTAGGGTAGTGCAGGGTAACTACACTGTCTTGCTGGATCAAAAGAAGGAAACTGGGGGTGGACCAGAACTCTGAATGGCCCCCCGGCTTGGGGGTCACAGTTTGGGCTCACCTTTGAATGCGGGATGCTGGTGCAAAGACCCCATGCCGTGGGGGACAGGTGAAGTATCGGACCCCAAAGACAGAGCCATCATGCTTGCCTGTGGGCTGGTCCAGCTCAATGCCATACCAGTAACCTGCAGCAAGAGGGTGTCAGGCTGCCTCTAGGCCCTGTCTGCCCACCAGCCCAGAGTCCCCATCCTCACCAGGAGCAAAGTCTGTCTTCCCATAAAAGCGCACAATCCCCTGCTTCTGGCCAGCCACAAGGACTTGGTCTCCAACTTCTGCCTTGGCCCCTTCACGCTGCTGTAGGCTACCCAGAGATGGCGATGATGGGGACTTCTTCTTGCCTGAAGACAGAGAGGGGGTCAGACCCCAGATGCCAACTTCAGGGACTCATGCCACCTGGGAGACCCCAATGTCTGTCCTGGCTCCAGTCAGAATTCCAGAGCCTTCTCCAGAACTAAGGGTAGGGGAAAGAGTTTGAGTTTGAAGAGAAACTAAATCCCAGATGCTGCAGAATTAAAAAGGGCAATTTTAGGAGTAAGGGGAAACTGAGTCACAGAACTTGAACCCCAAAATCTTTTCTCAAAGCTAAAGGAAAAACAGGAAAAGTCAAGAACCCAGAAATTCTCCTTTTAAAATGAAGAGGATAACAGCGATATATGTACACCCATGTTTAGAGCAGCACAATTTGTAATAGCTAGATCTTAGAAACAACTGAAATGCCCATCCACTGAGGAGTGACTAAAAAAGATATGGTATTTTTATATAATACTCAGCCATAAAGGATAAACTAGAGACTTTTATAGGTAAATGGATGCAACTTGAGACCATACTTATTAAGTGAAATAAGATGTGTAAATATCATATTGTCTCACTAGTGTGAGAAGCTAAATAAAACAACATGTATATATGTGTGTGTGTGTGTATATATATATATATATATATATATATATATAAACTAATTTCTCTGAATTCACTGTATTTTTTTTTTTTTTTCTTTTTCCTTTTTATCGGTACCGGGGATCGAACTCACGACTGCCTGCTTTCAAGGCAGGCACTTAAGCCACTGAACTAAACCCCCAGCCCCTCTACTGATTTCTCTGAATTCACTGAAGAGAAAGATTTGTGCTGGTATTGTTTGGACAATTGAATGCAGGTGTCTTGTGCTCTGGGTGAATGATTTGGGGATGACAATGCACAATGTATGTACCATTGTTGCCTTAATTGATGTGTTTTGAAACTTAGGTTTTTTTTCTCCTTGAAACAAAATGGACTAAAATAAGTAAATAAACCCACAAAAAATAAAAATTCCAATTACCCAGGGTGCATCCTGGAGCAATCAAATTGGAAAAAATAAATAAAATGTGGAAGATAGCCAAGCATGGTGACACGCACCCATAATCCCAGCATTCAAGAGGCTGAGGCAGCAGGATAGCCATGAATTCGAGGCCACCCTGGGCTACACAGTTCAAGGCCAGCCTCAACTACATAATAAGACACTGTCTCAAAAACAAACAACAACAAAAACATAAAACAAAAAAACTAAAATGAAGGGAATGGCTGGGGATCTGGCTCAGTGCTGTTTAGCATGCGTATTATGATTACTGTCTGGATGTCCCCCCAAAGCCTCATGTGGTCAAGGATGGTAGGCTTTTTGGAGGTGGCTGAATGCAGAGTTTGTGAATGGTTCATTGTCTAGTATTGGGACTGGGTGTATGAGTGCCACAGCTGTATACGATGTAAGAGAAGAAAAGAAGCTTGCTCCTCCCCTTTTGCTT